ATGGGGGGGGAGAAAATCCACATCGGAGGCCGTGAAAACTTCAAGCAGTGAAGGAACGTGCGCTTGAAAAAGGGTTTGCGCAGAGGGAAAAGGGAGGAGAAGGAGCAAGGGGATCAGTGCCATTGGGGTTTGGCCCCTCTGAAATATATTCAGAGATTGCTTCAGGTTTCAAAAATTCAGAGACTCGTAGGGGAGAAAAATTTTGGGAAATGGTAGGGGGGGATAGTAAAAAATTGGAACTGTATTGGCTCACCAAGGTAGGGGGGGGCAAAAGGGGGGAGGGAACTGGAGAAGAAGGGGAAGGGGACAAAAGGGGCAGAAACCGGAGGTGCAGAAGAGGAAGAAATTTGGGGGGGAACAGGGGGGGAAGGTACAGCGAGGAGGGGCCCCTCTACACTTGTAACGACCAGTAAAGGGGGGAAAAACTGGGTACAGAGACAGGGAAGGTAAAATGAGGGGGTGGAAGATGGGTAGGGGGGTGTTAACGGCCCTTTTTTTTTGACTTTTGAGAAGTAAGGGACGTTTGGGAGGAGGTGCCCCCAACGAGATCTCGTCGCTACTGGGGTTGTGAAGAAAACACTAAAAAGCAGATCAACTGAGGCGTTGAAGTAGGGACTCGAGCCGAGGACAGCAAAAGAATTAGATACAGGGGGTGACTAGGGAGGTAACCACAAGGTGGGTGCAGAAGATGGGGTACCAAAGTGGGGGGGGGTTTTGAAACATGGAATAAAAAACACGAGGTAGACTCCCTTTGGGGGCGGGGAAAGAAAACTGCCATGGCTAAGGGGACCTTCTGCCCTTTTAGTAACGGATTCCCCCCGTTTAAGAGACTTGACAACGCGAGAGTACAAGGGCGAGACTCATGACAAATTAAGGCAAGAGGGGGTCGATTTCAAGACTATTAGAAAAGGCATCGGGACCACAGACGGCATTTTGCAATAGATCTGCAATATTTTGCTGGATGGCCAAACGCCAGCAATTTCTACACTGTTGCGGGGAGGGGCACCTTTTGAACTTGAACCGATGCCTGCACATAAAAGGGTGGGGGTTCACGGCTGTCAAAAGTTAAACGAGCCACATTGCAGGGTACGCTCCACCCCCGGGGAGGAAAAAAGTAAGTTTACCTTTAGGGTTGGGGGATCTTTGGGGTTCCAGCGTTTAAGAATGTCAGTGCACAAGTCCCCCGGAAATTTTGTTGAACTATGGATGGGGCAAATATGGACCACTACAAAAATTGAGGGGAAAGATGTTTTTTATAGTGACAGGGAAAAGAAACGATATGGGAAAAACGAGAAAGCTCATAGCCTGGGTAGCATTTTGTACTGATGAGCGCGTACCGCTCTTAAGAGCATGAAAAAAATATCTTTACCACATGGCTAGGAGTGCCTTGCCAAAACGTGGGCAAAAGATAGGATAGAGGAAGTGGTTTGTAAGTAAGAATTTAGTCCCTTGTGCAGTCTGAAACTGAGTGTGGGAAAAGGGGTGAAGGACGGTCGATCTTTTCTGAAAGAACGAGAAGGTGGAGAAAATCAACAGCAGGGTTTTTTTTTTGGGGTTTAGGGGGGGGACCAGGTTTTCCGACGGGGAAAGGGTCGGCGATTGAAATTGCCGCACCGTAGAAAGGCCAGAACAAGTCAGAGGAAGCGAAGGGCAGATAAATCGAAGGGGTCATCGAGGCCTCAGACCTGAAGCGGGGGAGGAAACAGCACCCGGGAAGAGGTACGAGGCATGAGGAGTGTCCAAAGTGGTCCAAAGACGAGGCGGGGGCAAACGGGGTGCGGTATCAAAAAGGGGCCCGGGGGGAGCAGGTTCTGGACTAGGGCTGCCTGGTTTGGTTACTTCTTCTTTTGTTTTTAAGAAAAAAAAAGAAAGAAAAGAAAAAAAAAAAAGAATGAAAAAGGGGGGACCGGGGGGGGATAGTTCCTAGAGGAATAAAGGGGCCAAAAAAAACTCCCCCGCACCCAAGAGGACCTCACACCGCAAATCCCCCAATGCAGCATGGAACCCGTGCCATACCCTCCCTCATGTCAGTAAACCGGAATCCGGGGTACAACCTCACACTGCGACTACCCCGGGGGACAAAAAGAGAGGGCGGCCGGAAATCCCCCACAAAGCATACCCCTTCGGCACCACCCTGGAATCCGAAAGGGGGGGCTTCCAGAATACACCCGTCGCCCAAGAACACCCAAAACCACCCTCCGGATACCGGAAGGGGTCGGGGCATCCCCAGGGAATCCAGATTTTCCCCGGCAAACACGCCACCGCCAAGAACCCAAAAGGGAAAGGATGGGCCCCCCGGTACCCTTTTCCCCCCACCGGGAAATACGTGCCTGTGGAAAAAAAAAAAAGGAAGGGCAAAAGGGAGGGGTGGGGAGGAGAGGAGGAGGAAAGGAAAAAGGGGAGGATGGGATAGGGAACGGGGGATTGGGGGGTAATTAGGTTTCGGTCTGAGGAAGGAGACCGACAGGTCTAATTCCTCAGATCAAGAGCCTCTTCACCACGCCAAGGAGCCCCCCTTGAAGAGGAGTCATGTCTCCAGGCTCCTGGAGACATGACCTGGACTGATGAAGCCACTGTGTGGCAAAACGTTTCCTTAATAAAGATACCCAAGAGTTGCACATGTGTCTAATTTATCAAAGGTAAGTGTCAATTATTTTATTGTTATTGTAATTATTCTATTGCATTAAACTTAATATTTCATGTAGTAAAATTTTTTTTCATACTTTTGGGTGTCTTGCACGGATTAATTTGATTTCCATTATTTCTTATGAGGAAAATTGATTCAGTTTTCGATATTATCGGTATTCGATGAGCTCTCAGGAATGGATTAATATCGAATACCGGGGGTCCACTGTACGCCTAAATTCTAGCGCCCTCAAATCCAGCAAGAGAAAGCTGGTAGGCCTACATATGAAAGAATGGGTCTATGTGGTCAGTGTGCATGGTATAAAAAAAATCCTGCAGCCCACACTGCGTAATGAGAAAAAAAAAAACTTGTTTTTGGATTAAAACAGCGACTTTGCACTGTATTTTCGTATGGCATTTATTGTTGTATTCTAGTTTTCCTGGTCTCATTTTATAGAATGGAAGACATATTACAGAAATTGAGATGATTCTGACTGGTTTTACAAAGAAAACTACCTTGAAATTGCGCTCAAAGTAGCAGAAATGTTCGATTTTTACCAAAGTTCAAAAGTAAACAAACCATGCTATGCGTCCAATACACGTCAACTGGCGAGTCTAATATTCTTTCACAAGTGCGCTGATAATATTTATACCATTTCTACACCAATGCAGTAGTCTGCATAACAGTAAATCTTCTATTTTTTTTTTTGTGAGAATAAAAATTCAAAGTGGAAAGCAAAAGAATGCAAGAGGGGCATGGGGACGTGACTAATGAACAGAGGAAATGTTATTTTAGTGCCAGTAATGTCTTTCTTGTTTATTCTGGACCCTATTCGGAAATTGGCATCTTTTGAAATTTGTGTGAAATTGGCAAAATTGCTAAATTCTGACCACTGTATTGGAAAGTTGAAATCGGTAAATGGGTGGTTTCTTGTACTCATTCAATAGAAAAAATGAAGTTCTAGCGAAGTAGTTATGATTTTTGTCGACAAGTACACTGGAATTGGCCAAAAATAGGGCTCAAAGTGGGCAAAATTGCCGATGCGTAAACATCGTCGAGACCGCTAACTTTGCAAGAGAATAATTCCGTAAGTTTTCCAGCAAATTTCATACTTTTGGTGTCATTATGATTGGGAAAAGATTCTCTATCTTTTCAAATGAATTTTTTTTTTTTTTTTTGAAAATTGGCCGACCCTGAGAACAAGTCTCTGAGAGGGCCTGTCGACCCTGAAAGGGTTAAGGTAGCAATGACATGACTAGGAGGTCTGTTTTGCATTGTTATATTGGTGGAGCATGATGAAGCACAGCCTTCTTGTACATCTTTCCCCATCTTGATCTGACCTTAATAACTGCTTGGCCTATGGCCAGTTGAGCACTGCTGAAGTGGAGTCATGTGACACCAGAGTAATGGATGGAGAAGAGGTCCACAAAGGATAAATACATAAGTATATACTACACAAGTATTGTACCACTGACAGAGAGGTCACCAAGGAAATAATTCAGAGTGCTGAGGAGGGGATGGGGTGGTCTGGGTATAGAGGGATGGAGAGGGATAGGATAACAAACAGGGTGCACAAATCTGGGGTGAAGAACAGGATGGGCAGGGAATCCACCCCAGGGAATAATAATAATATCTTTATTTACTACAAGTACATGTACAAGGTATACAGTCCTAGCTGACAACAATGACATACTATGGATGGAGAAAAAAGAAGACTTCTGAGTTTTAGGAACTTGAGCATCCAGTAGGCTTATGTAAGCAGGGTAACATTTATGAAGGGATTCAGGGAAAATTGTTAACCAGAGCTGATTATTACTATTATTATAATCATGGGGGAGTGCTAAACCCATAGGGATTATACAGTACCTGTGGGGGGAGGATGGAAGGTATTGAGGCTCAAATCAGGGAACTAGAGCACAGATCCAATTCCCTAGATCAAGAGCCTCACCAGCATCAAGGAACCTCCCTTGAGGGGAACCAGATCTGAGCCTTGGAGGTGGGAAGGGCAGTGACTGAACTCTGGAGGGGTTGGGATGTTGCAATCAGAGGGTAATGTGAATCATGATGTCGGTACACTTCTGGCAAAGAGCGATTGAATGAATGATGGTGAATGTGTTTCCTTTTTTGGGTCACCCTATCTTGGTAGGAGATGGCTGATGAGGTAAAAAAAAAAATAATTATCTTAATGTTACTCTATATTAATCCTTAAACTGTCCAAACATAGATATAAGTTGATGTGTGGCAGGCTCTGAACGTAGATCTACGTTTTTTTTTTTACATGCTTTCAAATGGGGAAAATCAAGGTCGGTGCGCTACGCACGTGAACGTAGATCTATGTTTGGACAGTTTAAGGGTTAAAGAATAGTATACTTACCTTGAACTTTTCCATGACCTTCTTGACAGTCCGACCACGAACAAGATAATATAAACGGCTATCAATTTGAATAGTGTGTGTCACCATTTTATGCCATTCCCTAGTAAGAGCCAAAATAGCTGCATTTGCATCATGTACATTCTTCTTAAATCCTGTGATGGTGATGATATTTTTCTTTACATCACTGAAAGGAGGAAACTGAATGGTGACATTATGTTTATTCTCAATCTTTCCAATGATCCTTGGATGATATTCAGGGTCCACCTCAACCTGCAACCGAAAAGATCCTGCTTTTTGGTCTGACTCTTCTTCTTTCAATTGATGCATTTTTTCTCTTATAGCTTGCCGAGCACACTCTGTGTTGGCTGGTGAACCAGTGATCTTGATAATATTACTCCCATACTGTGGCACAAAAATAACCACATTGTATTTTGTCATAATTCTAAAGGCATTTTTGCCTTTCTTTCCAGTAATGAAGAGGAGAAATCCATAAGTAATGTTCTCTTCAACAGTAACTGGCACTAGATTTAGCAGGGCATCACGAGCAGCTTCACATCTGTCTTTTTGGCCTGTAATATGCACAATGTCTTGAGGCCTCACACCTGCCTTTTCATTAACCTTGCCATTTATTTGTCCTTGACTTTGTTTACCATTGGCAAGAGAGATACTACCTTTTTTAGGGAATCTGATTTGTACTTTAAACTTTGTGGAGAGTGCATGTACCTTACTGCCCTGGACACCCAGCAAAAAATGATGATGTTTTTGTGGGATAATTACTTCCAAGTTCACCTCAAGATCATTCACTATCTCCATAATGCGAGCTTTTGCTCCTTCAACATACTCTCTGGCTCCTTTTATGGTAACCTGAAATATATTAAGGACACATTAAGACACATACTATCAAAGAAATACACAATTCATTTCTATTAAAAAATTAAACTGAAGTCTTAAAACTGCATTCTTGGGCTGTTTATAAAGTTTATAGTACCGTACTTGCTAAGTAATTTAAAGAAATTCACATACCCAGTACAAAAGAGCTGTACACATTTTCCACTGCAACTCTATGCAATTATAATAAAACCTTTAGTATATTTAATCCCTTCAAGGGGATGCCATGATACCGATTAAAGACACTTGATCAAAAAATTGGAACTACCCTTGCCCTTCATGGGATCAAATTTGATTGTCTCACATTCTCAGGCACTGAATAACCCTTAAAGGTTTAGTGCTTTCCCACAAATATAATAATACTGCACATTTAATATTAAGTATTTATTTTTTTTTAACACGGCCATTTCCCAACAAGGCACGGTGACCCAAAAAGAAAGAAAAACCCCAAAAAAGAAAGAAAAAACTTTCATCATTCAACACTTCCACCATCACTCATACATAATCAGTCTTTCAAGAGGCGCTCAGGTATGAGAGTTGAGATGTCCTTCCAATATGCCAATATTCTAAACCCCTTCTTTAAATTCAAATTCAAAGTTTATTCTCTATAAGGATTACAATGCTGAGTTTACAGAATTTGGTTATTGTGTGGTTTACATGTAGTAAAATAATAATTACAGAGTGTACCACTAGAACACCTAGCATGGCTAGGCTTTTCGGACAGACTTAAAGTTTAAAATATTACAAAATTATGAGGTAAGTTGGTATTATGGCTAAGTGACTAAATACTAGTTTGTGAGTTTAGCAATGTGAATGCTTTTGTTTTGGCACTATACATAGTTTCAGTATTGGAGTATCACAGACCAACTTATGACTAGTTAAGATTCATTATTTTGAAATTGAGATTGATATTTCTGTTTATGGTCAAATGGGTGAGTGAGTGTAAGTGTTAACCACCAGGTGGTATTCATGTAATTAGTTGACAGGGTGTATCAGGGAGATGAGATGTTTTCTGATGGTAGTTTTGAAGGTGATGAATGTGGCTGCAGTTTTAGAATTTTCAGGTAGGGTGTTCCAGACTTTAGGGCCTTTGACATACATTGAATTTTTGTAAAGGTTTAGTCGGACACTGGGAATGTCATAGAGATGTTTGTGTCTGGTGTTGTGCCTGTGGGTTCTGTCACAACTATCAAGAAAGCATTTTAGGTCAAGGTTAATATTGGAATTTAAGGTCCTGTAGATGTAGATTGCACGGTAGTAAGTGTGGATGTACTGAACAGGGAGTAAGTTTAGATCTATGAAGAGTGGGGGGGTGTGTTGCCAGGGATGGGATTTAGTGATTATTCTTACTGCGGCTTTTTGTTGGGTTATTATTGGCTTTAGGTGTGTTGCTGCAGTTGAACCCCAAGCACAGATAGCATAGGTGAGGTATGGATATATAAGTGAATGGTATAATGTGAGAAGGGCAGTTTGCGGCACGTAGTATCGTATCTTGGAGAGGATCCCAACCGTTTTGGATACTTTTTTGGTTATGTGTTGGATATGGGTGCTGAAGTTCAGGTTGTTGTCGAGGTATAGGCCAAGGAATTTGCCCTCATTATGCCTGGCAATTAGAGTGTTGTCGATCTTAATGTTAATTTGCGCATCTCCTGCTCTGCTACCAAACATAATGTAGTAGGTTTTGTCAGTGTTAAGCGTAAGCTTATTGGCTGTCATCCAAGTCGATATTTTGATCAGCTCATTAACAATGGTGTTGAGGGTGGCAAGATTAGGGTGAGAGATGACATAAGTCGTGTCGTCAGCAAAGAGAATGGGGTTCAGGTGTTGAGATACGTTTGGAAGATCATTGATGTATATGAGGAAGAGCAGGGGACCAAGGACACTTCCCATTTCAATGACTCAAGTCTGGCTAACAGGTTCCCTGAATCTGTTCACAAAATATTACCCTGCTCACACTCCAACAGCTCGTCAGTTCCCAAAAACCATTCACTCCATTCACTTCCATCTAACACACTCATGCACACTTACTGGAAGTAAAAGCCCTTCACCCACAAAACCTCCTTTACCCCCCTCCCTCCAACCTTCTCAGGGTTGACCCCTACCCTGCCTTCCTGCCCCTACAGATTTATACGCTCTCCAAGTCATTCTACTTTGTTCGATTCTCTCTATATGACCAAACCACCTCAACTGCCCCTCTTCAGCCCTATGACTAATACTCTTAGTAACTTCACACCTCCTTATTTCCACACCTCCTTATTTCGACTAGTACATTGGAATTGGCCGAAAATAGGGCTCAAAGTGGGCAAAATCGCCGATGCTTAACGCTTTGACTGTCGAGATCATATATATACATCGTACGAGGTACCATGTTTGACGTATATATACTCATAAATTCTAGCGGCTTCAAATCAAGCAGGAGAAAGCTGGTAGGCCCACATGTGAGAGAATGAGTCTGTGTGGTCAGTGTGCACCATATAAAAAAAAATCCTGGAGCATGCAGTGCATAATGAGAAAAAAAAAACTGACCTTTTTTTTTAATTAAAATGCAGACTTTGTGGTCTATTTTCGTAGAGTATTTATGGTTGTATTCTCGTTATCTTGGTCTCATTTGATATGATGGAAACCATATTATAGAAATAGAGGTGATTTTGATTGATGTTACTATAATAAGAACCTGTAAATGGAGCTCAAAATAGGGGAAATGTTTAATTTTTGCCAATGTTCAAAAGTAAACAAATGATGTCATTGTCCAATAAATATCCAACTAGCCATTCTAATATGCAGTCATGAATGGGTTGATGTTTTTTATACAATTATTACAGCATTGCAGTAGTCCGCATAACAGTAAATCTTCTATTTTTTGTTTGAATAAAAATTCAAAATAGAAAGCAAGAGTAATATCAGAGGGGCTTGGAGACATGACTGATGAACAAAGAAAATGTTATTTTAGAGCCAGGAATGTCTGCATTGTTCATTCTGGACCTTATTTTGAAATTGTCATATTTTTTAATTTTCGTGAAATTGGCCGAATTGCAAATTTCTGACCACATTATTGGGTAGTTGAAATCGGTAAATGGGCAGTTTCTTGTACTCAATCAATAGAAAAAATGGATTTCTAAAAAAATAGTTATGAGTTTGGTTGACTGGAACAACGAAATTAGCCGAAAATAGGGCTCAAAGTGGGCGAAATCACCGATTGTAAATATTGCCGAGGTCGCTAACTTCGCAAGAGCGTAATTCCGTCAGTTTTCCATCAAATTTCGTGTTTTTGGTGTCATTACAATCGGGAAAAGATTCTCTATCATTTCATAAGAAAAAACATTTTTTTTTTTTTTTTTGAAATTTTGCGACACCAGGAGACACTTCACGATTGGGGGGGTTGCGACAGGTAAGGGGTTAAACATCATCGAGACCACTAACTTTGCAAGAGCATAATTCCCTAAGTTTTCCATCAAATTTCATACTTTTGGTGTCATTATGATCGCGAAAAGATTCTCTATCTTTTCATAATAAAATATATATATATTTTTTTTTTTATTATTATCACACTGGCCGATTCCCACCAAGGCAGGGTGGCCCGAAAAAGAAAAACTTTCACCATCATTCACTCCATCACTGTCTTGCCAGAAGGGTGCTTTACACTACAGTTTTTAAACTGCAACATTAACACCCCTCCTTCAGAGTGCAGGCACTGTACTTCCCATCTCCAGGACTCAAGTCCGGCCTGCCGGTTTCCCTGAACCCCTTCATAAATGTTACTTTGATCACACTCCAACAGCACGTCAAGTATTAAAAACCATTTGTCTCCATTCACTCCTATCAAACACGCTCATGCATACCTGCTGGAAGTCCAAGCCCCTCGCACACAAAACCTCCTTTACCCCCTCTCTCCAACCTTTCCTAGGCCGACCCCTACCCCGCCTTCCTTCCACTACAGACTGATACACTCTTGAAGTCATTCTGTTTTGCTCCATTCTCTCTACATGTCCGAACCACCTCAACAACCCTTCCTCAGCCCTCTGGACAACAGTTTTGGTAATCCCGCACCTCCTCCTAACTTCCAAACTACGAATTCTCTGCATTATATTCACACCACACATTGCCCTCAGACATGACATCTCCACTGCCTCCAGCCTTCTCCTCGCTGCAACATTCATCACCCATGCTTCACACCCATATAAGAGCGTTGGTAAAACTATACTCTCATACATTCCCCTCTTTGCCTCCAAGGACAAAGTTCTTTGTCTCCACAGACTCCTAAGTGCACCACTCACTCTTTTTCCCTCATCAATTCTATGATTCACCTCATCTTTCATAGACCCATCCGCTGACACGTCCACTTCCAAATATCTGAATACATTCACCTCCTCCATACTCTCTCCCTCCAATCTGATATTCAATCTTTCATCACCTAATCTTTCTGTTATCCTCATAACCTTACTCTTTCTAGTATTCACCTTTAATTTTCTTCTTTTGCACACCCTACCAAATTCATCCACCAATCTCTGCAACTTCTCTTCAGAATCTCCCAAGAGAACAAGTCTTTGAGAGGGCCTGGTGACCCTCAAAGGGTTAAAGGCTCCCCATTTTCATTTACCCCTGGCACCCCAAATTTTCCTACTACTCCCTCCACAACAACATTTTTACCCACTTTAGCATTGAAATCCCCACCCACAAGTACTCTCACACTTGATTCAAAACTCCCCATGCATTCACTCAACATTTCCCAAAATCTCTCTCTTTCTTCTACACTTCTCTTTTCTCCAGGTGCATATATGCTTACTATAACCCACTTTTCACATCCAACCTTTATTTTACTCCACATAATCCTTGAATTAATACATTTATACTCTTTTCCTGCCATAGCTTATCCTTCAACATCATTGCTACTACTCCTTTAGCTATAACTCTATTTGAAACCCCTGACCTAATCCCTTTTATTCCTCTCCACTGAAATTCTCCCACCCCCCTCAGCT